AGATCTCTGCTGATAGCCTGGGAAAGCAGGAGAGGATGGGCCAAATGCTTGGGCCCCTGAACCTGTGGGAGACCCGGGAGAAGCTCCTGGCTCTGGCCTGGGCCCCAGCTCCAGTCGCTGCAGTCATTTGAGGGAGTGAACCAGGGGATGGAAGACCTCTCTCTCTGCCTGCCCCCGACCCCGACTGTGTAACTCTGCCTTTCAAATAAATGAATCTTACAAACAAACCAACCAACCAGAGGACCCAGACATATCCAGGAGAGGAGGCTGTGTTTTTATTTCAGCCTCTGACTTTCCATTCGCTTTACTGCTAAAGCTAAAGAGAAAACAGCAAAGCGGTCACAAAGGGACAACGTGTAGGAAATTGCTTATCTTGGAGGAAAAACACAAGGATCTGCCGACGTAGTTGAGAGACAAGCAGTGGAGTTTTTATTGAGCCAGGTAAGGACGCAAGGCTGACACGAAATAAGGGAGAACACGACAGGGCAGCCAGGCTCGCTCCGTGAGGATCCCCAGCCCTCCGCCGTCAGAGCTGGAATGTTACGTTTCAGAGAGCACGGAACCAGCGCGGGATCTCAAGGAAGGAACGACCCAATGGAAAGGTATCAGCGTTTACAGGCCAAACCGAACACACAGTTCAGAAGCAGAGGAACTTCGGAAAACGCTTTTGCAATGGCGTGGAAAGCACGAGGGGCTGCATCAGCGCCGGAAAAGGGGGCTGGAGGCCAAGGATGACGCCGATGGAGTTCAGGGACGAGGCTAAGCAGCCAGAAACGAGAGGGAGGTAACGAACTCACTCCCCAGGCTCAGGCGAGGCGACGCGGGTGTCTGGGTGTCCCGGCTTCCCGCTTCCTTCCCTCCCGGAGCCCTGCGCGGTTCCTTGCAGCGCGTCCTGCCCCAGCCCCCGATCCCTCACGAGCGCCTCGGCCTCCCCTTTCCCGTCCCCGGCCCCTACTCACCGGCTCGAGCCCCTTCTTCCTCCTCTTCGGTGCTGCGACAACAACTGCGAGAGAGAAGGCGTGAGCGGGGCGAATGGCGGGCCTTGCACTCCCAGAATACCACGCGCTCCCAGAATGCCGCGCGCGCGGGGACCGTCCCTGAGCGCGAGCTCGTCTCCGCTTCCTCCTTACTCCGCCGGCTGGGAAACGCGGACCCAGGTACGATAGTTCCGGCGCCGGAAGAGAGAGCTGATGACAGGGCCCGGGGGCCGCCGGAAGCCCCGACGCGGGGGCCCGAAACGGGAGAGGGGGGCTTGCGCTTCCAAGCACCCCTCACAAAAGACTGGCTGGACGACAAGGAGGGGATCTACAGCCTGGGTCCTCGGATCCGGGGCAGCAGGAGGTGGGAATGAGGGCTGGGACCTCCCCTCACAATTTAATCTTTGGAACCCGGCACTGCCAGGTAACGGGAACTCTCAGAGAGGGGAGGTGTCGTGTCTGGACAGAGAAACTAAGGTATCAAGTGGAGCAAGGGCCGGCTCAGCACTAAAGAGATCAGAGTACGGTTGCCTGGACCCTAGGCAATCACAGGGCCGGAGCCGGGCTTACAGCTGAAGCCGGCAAAGGGGTGGGGCCTGGCAGAGGCGGGGCTTGCTGAGGGAAAGAGCCCCTGGGGAGCCAGTGTTTGCGCTGCGCCGAGCCCTCGGGGAGGGGCTCAGAAGGGGGCGGAGCTTCCGGGGGACCGAGCGAAGGAAGGGCCCGCGCGTCTGCGCGAGGATTCGGTAAGGGGGCGGAGCTACCAGAAACCGAGACTGTGAATGGCCAGGCCGGGCTTAAATCATGAGGCTGGAAGCCTCTAGGAATCGAAGTCTGGGACTGGGAAGGGGCGGGGATTAGGGGAGGGGCGGGGCCTCCGGATCCAAGACCTGGAGTGGCTGGGGCGGGGCTTGGGGCTGCCCGGCCGCCGCCTCCGCTTCTCCCCGCTGTGGCGGTGGCGGCGGCGGCTACGGCGTTCGACACGCATTGGCTGCGCTCCTGCGCCAGCTGAAGCCGAAGCTGCAGCCCGCAGCGGGCCGGGGCCATGGGCGCCCCGTGCTGCGCGGGTCATGAGGACGGAGGCGGAGGCAGCGGGGCCGCCGCTCGAGCCGGGTCAGTGCCTCTCTCTGAGGGCCCAGCCCTCAGCCCCGGGGAATGAGGGGGACCCCGCCCTAGCGCGGAGCAGGGTCCATCCGCGCGCGTCCCTGGGCCGTCTCTGCCCAGGCTGTGGAGCTGTAGCGAAATCATGGCCAGGTGGACACCCTTGCCTCGGGCTCTTCTCCCTTCCCCCAACCTCTGGTCAGCTGGGGTTTCCTGATACTAACAGGGCAGGGACCCCAGTCAGCTGTGCTGGCGGTCACGTGGGAGGGCCCCGGGTGGAGAGGGTGCCAACTACGCAAAAGTCCTCCTGTAGCCGCCTTGGGAGAGTCCGCTCTCTTGGGGGAACTGAACCTGGGTGGGCAGGGACCTGGGTGGGCCCTTCCCTTAGCTTGCAGGACGTAGCTAGTCTTGTTTGCTTGCTACGGTTACCATTCTCTGGTTCCTTCTGCCCCAAGGTAACCTGAGCCCCTCTGGGCTGGAGCCTGAGAATACTGCTCAGTGCCCTGGGCCTCAGTTTGCTTGTCCAAGAAGTAGGGGAGGTTGGAAGTCGGCTTCCTGCAGCTCAGAGTTGATGAGAAAGGGACAGTGCCCCGGCAGGCTCCGGGAGAGAGGTGGAGCAATAGGGGGGACCGCGACTGCCAGGAGTGATCTCTTTGGTGGCGGCAGCGTGACATTGGGCCTGATGTCACCTGGGGACTTAGAGTCCTACCCTTCCAGTTCTTTCTGGTCTTGGGCAAGAGTGGTGCGGCTCCTGAGCCCCCGAGGAGTCAGGGCTTATGTTGGGAGGGAGCAGTCCAGGAAGCAGGCGTTGTGCTCAAATGTTTACCTGCAGTGCCCTCGCAGTCCTCGTAACAGCCCAGTGAAGCTGGTCACTGGTGCCGGTTGCTGTTTTGCAGACCCGTATCCACAGTCAGTGGACTGCCTTCCTTCCTTGGCTGTTGGGCAACAGCCACTGACCGAAGCCAGGCCGGGGGCCTCCCAGGCAGACGCTTGCCTCCGGACGAACGTCAACATCTGGCGCTGTCTCTAAAGCTTAAGCTGTTATCAGGACAAATGCCGAGAGGCCTCGCCTACCCTTATCACCCTCTGCAGAAGCATCCGGGTCCCTGTGGGCGGATCAGCCTGTGCCAAGACTGAGGATGGCCACGTGGGGGGTGTTTAGCCCTGTGGGAACCCTAGGATCAACGGATTCATGTTTTGTTTTTTAAGATTTATTTTATTCAAAAGGCAGAGTTACAGAGAGGCAGAGGCAGAGAGAGAGGTCTTCCATCTGCTAGTTCACTCCCCAAATGGCAGCAACGGCTGGAGCTGTGCTGAAACCAAGCCAGGAGCCAGGAGCTTCTTCTGGGTCTCCCACGTGGGTGCAGGGGCCCAAGGACTTGGACCATCTTCCACTGCTTTCCCAGGCCACAGCAGAGAGCTGGACTGGAAGAGGAGCAGCCGGGACTCGAACTGGTGACCATATGCGATGTTGGCACTGCAGGAAGCGGGTTTACCCGCTACGCCACAGCGCTGGCCTCAGATCAAGGGATTCTAGGGCTGAGGACAAGAACAGGAGAGGAGTTGAGTGTCCTCAGAGAGCAGTTCTCCTGTACCACATTTTCCAGCTGGGGGTAGGGGAAGCCAGAGGCCACAGGCAGGGTCATAGCCTGGCAGGAGGTGGCCCAGCCAGTCAGTGCCAGAACTCAGGCCCCAGGCTGGAGAGAGAGAGCCTGGGTGGAGGAATAGTCTGGAAACTGGGGCGGGTGGGGGAGGACGGAGGGGCCAGGGGAGTGCACTGTAGTGACAGACTGGCGTGGGCATGTTAAGAGATAAAGTGTTTCTGGAGAAAGCCTCTTCCATTCACCAAGCGTGTCTGCATGCCTGCTGTGGGCTGAGGGCCAAGTGGAGGCGAATGTCCCCGCCCACCGCCAAGGAAGTCTTCCTTCCATCTAGTGGGGCAATCAGATGCCCCCTGGAGGACTCCACGTTGCGGGCCCCCCCTTCCCCGGGAGGGAGAGGCCTGGAACTTCCGGGCGGCCTGTGATGGGAGACAACACTGCAGACCAAGGGTTATGTAAGAGCAGAACCTGGAGAGTTACCAGCCTGTGCAGGGAAAAACAAAAAGGCAGTTGATAGGCACAGTGGAGGGATTCTTCACCCCGCAGAGAACTCTTGCCCCACCCCCAGCCCACTCCAGGGAACTGGTTTAGAATAGGAGACCCTGGAGGTCAGGGCTGGGGTCCTTGGGTCCCCTGTGTGTCCCCAGAGCCTAATGCACCGTGACTGCTTCATTTCCTTTTTTGTTTTTACACCTCTTTTTTTTTTTTTTTTTAAGATGTATTTTATTTGAAAGGTAGAGTTACAGAGAGAGAGATGAATCTGCTATTTCACTTCCCAAATGCCTGCAACATTCGGGGCTATGCCAGGCCAAAGTCAAGAGCCAGGAGTTTCTTCTGGGTCACCCGCATGGGAGCAGGAGCCAAGGACCTGGGCCCTCCTTCACTGTTCTCCCAGGTGCATTAGCAGGGAGCTGGATTGGAAGTGGAGCAGCCGGGACTCGAACTGGCGCCCATATGGGATGCTGGCACTGCAGGCCAGGCCTTTAACTCTCTGCGCCACAGCATGGGCACCCTCTTGCATTTCTTTCCATATTTACTATGAAGCCTCAGACCCCAGGGCCTGGGATTAGCAAATTCCCTGTTGTTTTAGTCTGTGACCGGGTGATCTTTAAACTACAGAAACTGACTTTCTCGGTTTGGGAGACTGGAAAGTCCCAAGATCAAGGCTGTGGCCAGTGTGATATCTGGTAATGGCCCTTCAAAGATGGTGTCCCCTAGGCGTCCTCACGTGGTAGAAAGGACAGAAGAAAGAACATTTTGTTCTGGTAGGATGGGAGAGTAGAAGGCGGGGGCGGGGGGGAGTGGGGGTTGCTGAAGCTTGTTCTTTTCTGGCCCTTTTATAAAGTAATCCATCCTTGAGGGCAGAACTCTTGTTTAAGCAGTTCCCAGAAAGCCCCTGGCTGATACTAAGGCTACAATGGGGATTCAGTTTCAACAGGAATTTTGGAAGGGACACATTGAAACGCAAACACCTGCCCGCAGGAAGCTTACAGTTTGGTGGGGGGACAGAGTAGCCTTTTGTTGCTGGTTACTTTTGCTAAACAAGGAAGCAAACAGGATGTGAAAGAGGCTCCCACAGCCCTCAAAGACCTCATCACTGACCGAGCTCTCAGGGGACAGGTTTCTGAGCTGGGACCCGGATGACAAGAAGGGGAAGAGAGTGCCAGATGAAGGGAGCCACCTGTGCCAAGGCCCTAGGGTAGAAAGCAGCCTGGTGGGGTCACTGGGTAACAGGAAGACGGGAGGATCAGGGTGCTGCTGGGAGGCTTGGGCAGGATCTGCAGACTTTGGAAAGGGGTGACAACTTTGTCCTAAATGCAGTCGGAAATTGGATGGGATCTCTCTGGCTGCTGTGTGCAGAGTTGGGCAGGGGCTCCGAGGAGAAATTGTGGAGGACAGGCGGGACTGAGAGCCTTTGCATGAAGGACCTGGGTTCCTTTTGGAGGCACCAGGGGTCAGAAGACGGGAGGGAATGAAGGCCCTGCCTGGGCTTAGCCTACCAGGCTCTGGCTCAGGGCCAAGGTCACGTCGGCACCTGCCAAGGGCCTATGTCTCGAGTATACATGGTGGTTCCTGTCCTAGCGAAGGAAGTAGGCACAAGCCGAGGGGCATGCCTCACCCGTGCTGTCCTGCCTTCTGCCAGCCCTGCTGCACACTCTAGCAGGTGAGTGCAGGAGAAAGGCCAAGAGCAATCACAGGTCCCTCCCTCCTGGGAGCGTCCGGCCAGCTCAGCAGGGCACGGGCAGTCTTGACGCAAGGGGCCTCTCCTGTGAGCCAAAGCCTGAACCCACACCCAGAGGAATACAGCTGAGGGAAAGGACATGGCCAGCCTAGGATCAGGGGAGGCCTGGAGGGTTTTGTCTGGGCCAGGCCTTGAAGCTGGGTAAGGTGCAGCTTGGGAGTGTGGCAGCTTGGGACTCAGACAGAAGCCAGCGGGTTGGAACGGCCAGGGCCGAGACTGGGGGTGGTGCACTGAAGCGAATGGGTAGGCACCAAGGCTGGCACGGCGGGGAGGGGGGCTCTTGGGGTGGCTTAGCGCAGAGCTGGCCACACAGTACAGAGACCCTGAGATAGGAAGCCACACGGGCTGGGCTGTCACGTGCTGAACAGATGTCACCGGGGAGTAATTAGTGGGTGGCCAGCACAGAGAAGTCCCTTCTGGTTCTTCAGACTCTGAACTTTGTCCAGGTTCACGGCATGGAAGAGTGGGCGGGTCCTACAGGCACCTTGGGGGCTCTGTGCGCACCCTGGCGCACACCCCCACCGCTTCCTGAGCCTCCGCCCCTGCTTTTCTCTGATGTCTGTTTGTCTTCCCCGTCTATCAGGACAGGGACTTTGTGTCCCTCACTGTGGTGTTACACGTGCCGGGCCCGTGCTAGGCTCTGGTGAAATATCTGTCTTTTGAGTGAGCAGATCAGGCCAAAGTCCTCCACTCTCAGGATCGCCAGACTCAATCCAGCAACAGGAAAACAGGTGCTCAGCTCGTAGCCTACCAGCGGCAGAGCCAGGATTAGAATGCCTCAGTCAGGCCCTTGCGGCTCCTGCCAAGGACAGACCGAGAGGGTGCCAGGGACACTGGTGGATGGAGCTCGCGGAACATTCCATATGCACAGCTTACGTCACGGTCCCCTCCTCCTAGTGTGGCCTTCCCACCTTGCTGGTCCTGGGGGCTTTGGAATCAGGCAGCCATACAGGGGCCTCGTGAACTCAGGTGTGTGTGCTGTCCCTGCAGCCAGAGCAGGGAGCAGAACAGCCCCAGTTGCTGCCTCCCGGGAGCTGCTCTGAGAGGCAGGCACAGAGGGCTGGGAGTATGTGTGGAGGGGTGGCAGGGAGCCCGAGAGGGGCGACACCATGGATAAGTGACATCCAGGGGTGGATATTTCTGCCTGCAGGGTGGCCTGGTGAGGGAGAAGGGGAAGGGGGCAGTAGGCAGAGGAGCTGGGGCAGCAGCCAGGAAGATGTCCTAAGAGATAAAGGCACCAACCCGCTGGAGGATTTGGGTAGGGCCGACCCCTGGCTGGTCTGGTGTTTGGGGTGGGGGATCACTGGTGTTGAAGCAGGACAAAGGGCTGTGGGAAGGCCCCTCCCTGAGCGGCCGCTGCAGGGGCTCGGTGGGAAGCAATGGTGCTGCTGCTGATGGTGCCTGTAGGGGTAGCCGTGGTCAGACACGCAGTCTGACCTCCCGCTGTTGCCACGCAGGGGACTTTGTTCAGCTGCCCGTGCCTATCATCCAGCAGCTCTACCACTGGGACTGCGGCCTGGCCTGCTCCAGGATGGTGTTGCGGTGAGTGGGCAGGCTCTCGCTCCCAGTCCAGCTCCGGGGGACGCAGCGAGAGGCCCGGGAGGGAGTCGCCATGCATGTGTGACTGTTCTTGGTTATGGCTTCCAGAAGGCCCAGCTTCCGTCTGTGCTCAGTCCTATCTGTAAAAACCAGCAAGGGGTAGAGCAGGCCTTCTTCCAGGTCTCCTAATGCCAGGGAATCCCAGGTGCTTGGGCCTGGCCCACCCGGTGGCTGCCTGGAGCCCCAAGAGCAGCTTCTGCCCTGTCTTTTTACATCCCAGAATTCCAGGCACAATAGGATTTAGCAAAAACAGTTCGGTGCCCAAAGCTCTGAAAAGTATTTATGGGGATCCAAGGGCCTTATTTGAGAGATGCAGCTTACAAGGCCAGAGAGGGCAGTGACTTGCCCAGGGCCACACAGCCCATAAGAGACATGACAAGCAGAATCCAGGCCCTCAACCCCACCTCCAGGGTGGTGCCTCGGGGCCCTGGCAGTCCTCAGGCTGTGCTCTGGCTGTGTGCGAGCAAGGATGTAAGGTTTTATGTCGAAGGAAGGAGGCTTCTGGGCAGAGGGAGCTCTGGGCCAGCCCCTCCCCAGGTGGGAGAAGACTTCTGGGGGCCCACCTGTCCACAGGTACCTGGGTCAGCTGGACGATGGCGAGTTTGAGAGCGCCCTGCAGGAGCTGCGGCTGACCAGGAGCATCTGGACCATAGACTTGGCCTACCTGATGCGCCACTTCGGCGTGAGGCACCGCTTCTGCACCCAGACTCTGGGCGTGGACAAGGGCTACAAGAACCAGGTGAGCGGCCAGCTGCCGGGCCTTTCCCCTCCCCGGCCCCAGAGGCAGATCTCAGCTCAGGGGCCAGTGCTTGTCAGCCTAACTCTCCTTCCACCTTCTCAGTCGGGAGACAAAGGCCAAGGAATCTGGCCCAGGGACTGTGGCCTTGAGGCAGAGAAAGGGGCTTGAGAACAGATTCTCTCTGCCCCCCCCCCCATGCCTCCTTACGGCCCCAGCACCAACAAAGCCTATTTGGTGGGCCATACCTGGCCACACTGAGCTGTGGCCGAGCCGTCCCTGGTGGTCTCGGCCTCGCCCCCTGGGCTCACCAGCTGTAAGCTGCAGGGCGCGCAAAGCTCCAGGGTACGCAGCCTCCTCCAGGGAGCTGACCTGAGCCCAGCTGCCCGTCACGAGCATACGTCTGTGGCCCTGCCCATGCTGTGGCTCGCTGCGCATGGCTTCCCTTCCGGGGAGCCCCCAGAGCAAGGGGCTCCCTTGCCCTCCTGGCATCTCTGCTCCTGTGACGTGCCCTCTGCCTTGCGCACGTGGAGCAGGGGCAGCCGGGGCTGGCGGCCACTCCCATGTGCCCTGCTCTCTTCAGTCCTTCTACAGGAAGCACTTTGACACAGAGGAGACCCGGGTGAACCAGCTGTTTGCACAGGCGAAAGCCTGCAAGGTGCTCGTGGAGAAATGGTGAGCCCTCCCTGCCCCCCACATTCTGCCCTCCCTCACTTCCTGCTCACCAACAGCCTTGGGGTTGGGGGCAGGGGACTTAGGATGGTGTTTGGGAAAGGCTCGGACTCTGCTCTCCACGTGGTCCGTGAACCTTGGCTTTCCCATCCATGAAACGGGGATCAGTGGGGCTCCATGGCCCAGGCCCTGGCCTGGGGTGGATCCTGAGCAGATGCTGCGAGGACAGGCTGCAGCCAGTCTCTCCCTGGGCTGTTGTGGCCTCACAGGCTCCTCCCCCTTCTCATCCATATACACCCAGGGGGCTGGATTCAGAGGGACCATGGCAGCAACTGGCTCAGATGTGAGTGGGGTCTTCTCTGAGCTCATGGTGGGTGGTGGCCGTGCTCAGGCCAGCTGCGTCTGGTCCCAGATCAGCTCCCGGGGTCACTCTTGGGAATTCCTCCTTTCTTTACTGATTCGCACTTTCATTATTAACAAAATAATGACCTGCAAGATAGGTGATTTGGAAAGCAGGGAAAAAAAATCTCCACTCAGTTCTGAGACCAGGGGTGGGGAAGCTTTCTTCCTGTCAAGGGCCTTTTGGATAGGTACAGCATCGTCCGCGGGTCATACAAAATTACCAGCCTAAAAACTAGACTGCTGTAGAGCTATTGAATTCTGAGTCCCAGCTGTGGTTGCCTTGGCAAGGCCAGACCAAATGATTTTGCTGGCCTGCTATGGCCCACGGCCTCCCTGGCATTGAGCCACGCTTGTTCTGTGAAGCTATACCGTGTCTGCCCAGCCTGACCCTGCGTTTTCCCTGAAGCTGCACTCCCCTCTCGTACACATGGTCGAGAACTGGGCCAGGCTCTTGTGTTGCAAAGACCAAATGGAGGGCCGGCGCCGCGGCTCACTAGGCTAATCCTCCGCCTTGCGGCACTGGCACACCGGGTTCTAGTCCCGGTTGGGGCGCCGGATTCTGTCCTGGTTGCCCCTCTTCCAGGCCAGCTCTCTGCTGTGGCCAGGGAGTGCAGTGGAGGATGGCCCAAGTGCTTGGGCCCTGCACCCCATGGGAGACCAGGATAAGTACCTGGCTCCTGCCATCGGATCAGCGTGGTGCACTGGCCACAGCACGCCGGCCGCGGCGGCCATTGGAGGGTGAACCAACGGCAAAGGAAGACCTTTCTCTCTGTCTCTCTCTCACTGTCCACTCTGCCTGTCAAACAAAACAAAACAAAACAAAACAAAACAAAAACCAAATGGAAACATGGCGTGGCATGTTTCCCCGGCCCAGGCTGCAAACCAGATTGCTGTGTGACTCGGCCGTGGCTGGAGTCAGGCCAGGCCCTGTGGTGCCGGCGCTGCCACTCCTCAGGAGACTGATGAAGGAGCCCACGTAAAGAGCAGAGCAGCCCTACTGTTGGGTCCCTCTAGGTGCTTATTTGGAGAGGTGCCTGGGGTGTGCCCCTCGGGGCGGCTCCAGACAGCTGTGTCTGCAGAACTGGGTGGGGTGTGTGTGTATTTCCCCTGGAGCTGCTCCTCCTGCCACAAGAAACCTTAGAAAGGAGAAAGAGCCCTTTCACAGAAGCGTTTGGTTAACAAACTGGCTCAGCCCAGCTTGGCTCGGATTTGGGGAACTGAACTGGGCCCGCGGCTTCCAGCATAAACCACACTTGATGGAGGATAAAGAACAAACGGGCTTGGCAAAAAGAATTCATTAACCAGGCTGGGAGTGAGGTTCCAAGTGTTGCTCTAGTGGCCCATTTCCTGCTTGTCTCTACTGATGGTGCCAGCTCGTCTGGTGCACGCTGGGAACTGTCCCCTCCCACCCCACACTGAGCCTGCGCAGTGACTACACAAGGGCTCTTCCACCTGCAAGGAGCTCAGGGCAGAGGGCAGAGGAACTGGGGGCCCAGGGGAACAGAGACAGAAGCAGGGATAAACCTGACCCCTCCCTCCCTCCCTCGCGCCCCCAGTGCTGTGAGCATTCAGGATATCCAGGCACACCTGGCCCAGGGCCACGTGGCCATCGTGCTGGTGAACTCGGGGGTGCTGCACTGCGACCTGTGCTCCAGCCCCGTCAAGTACTGCTGCTTCGCCCCCAGCGGCCACCGCTGCTTCTGCCGCACCCCCGACTACCAGGGCCACTTCATCGTGCTGCGCGGCTACAGCCGGGCCACCAGCTGCATCTTCTACAACAACCCAGCCTACGCCGACCGTGAGTGCTGGGCCCCCAGGACTCCCTCCCCTCCCACCCCTTCACCTCATCCCAAAACCCCTGCTCCTCAGGGCCACCCCGCCCTCCCACCAACCCCGTGCTACCGCCCAGGGCCCTGCCTCGCCACCTCAGCGCCCAACCCCGATTCCTCTCAGGACAGCCAGCAGCACATGCCACAGACAGACAGTCTGGCCAGACATGGCCCCTGCTCCACCTGGGCCTGCCCACTGCCCTCAGGGCTTGGGGAAGGCCCTCCCTGATTCCCACAGACCCACCCGTGTGTCCATGTTGCATGGAGCACATTGCCCCCCCGCCCTGGGCCTTACTTGTCCATCTACTAACCTGGGGAGGGGCCAGAGAAAGAGCTGGAATAGGCAAGGATAGCTTCTTGGGGGTGCAGGACTTGAGCCAAGAGGAGTGGCCAGCCAAGTGGGCTGTGGTCGGGTCTTGCCTGGCTCCCTTGGGTGCTGGTGGGGCAGGTGCTGTGTCCCTACCCATTGAGCCCTCTCTACCCTCCCCACAAACCCCCACGCCGCAGGAATGTGCAGCACCAGCATCAGTAATTTTGAAGAGGCCAGAACCAGCTACGGCACGGATGAGGACATCCTCTTTGTCTATCTGGACAGCTGACAGCAGGAGCCTGGTGTGCCCAGGCTCTTGGATCCCTCCCCCTCTGCCCCTAGCAAGGCCCACTCAGGAGCTGACAAAGCCCCAGGGAACTCTGGGAGACCAGCACAGCTGCCTCATCTGCCAGCATTGTGTGTTGTCATGCCACTACCCGAAGCACCTGCTTCCAAGGTGAGCCACACCCCGGAACTCCAAGCCTGACTCCAGCGGTGCCCAACGGAAGTCCAGCCCCAAGAGCGTCCTTGTTGACTTTGAGTGGGACCCCAGGCAAGGGGAAGAGGCCTGAATCGGACTCCCACTCCCCACAGACCTTGGGACCAAGCCCTGGAGAGAGAGAGACCATGTGGCTGGTGCTGATTATCAGGACAGCACCTCTGGGGTTGGGGAGCACAGCCAGCCTCTGGCTCCAGGCGCCCGGAGGTGCTGCAGACCCCACGTGCCCTACGGTGCGTGCCATCACCGCCTCATCCCACCCCCTTCTAGGCCCGATCACCGTGGCTGGTTGCCAGGTCGCCTAGCCTCTGCCACAGTGTAGACACATCTCACAGCCACCCCACCCTGCAGAGCCCTGGTGCCTGGGGGCTTGGAGGCCTCCTGCAGCCCTCTAAGGAGTCCAGCCCTATCCAGTAGAGGGTCCTCTTGGCGGGGGCCCGATGGCCGGCGACACAGAGTGTGCTTAGGGCTCAGGGGGCCTCCTGACACCAGCCAGGATGCTGGCGGCAGGACCCATCTTCTGGGTGCAGGGTGCTAGGCCTGCACTCCTGCGGCAGCAGCAGGGGCAGCCCTTGGCTTCCCCGCTGCCACTGCCACCCTGGTCCTGATGCCAGGACTTTCTGCATGGAGTGCTGGGTCTGTCATCACACAGCGCAGCAAGTACCACAACTGGAGCTGTTTCCTTTTTTTTTTTTTTTTTTTTTTTTTTGGTTTGGGGTTTGTGTGTGTGTGTGTGTGTGTTTGTTTTTTTGTTTTTTTTTTTTTTTTTTTTAGATATAAGTTTTTTCTTCCAGAGGGTGAGAAATCGCTTTCACGTCAGATAATAATAGTGAGATTGCAGGTACTTTGGAGCCCCTAGCACCTCTCTCATGGGACGGGGTCAGCCAGCCCAGGTCTGTTCTCAAAGAGAGGAGGTCTCACCTTTGGGAGGAGGAAGTATCTGTCTGCACCCCGGGTCTTGGTCTTTTGGTGCTGGAGGCATGATGTGGTGGTCACGGCTGCCTGCTGGCCATCGCGGTGGTTCTCGGGCAGTGAGAGGCTCTGCCTGCCAGGGCTGTGAGCCCCCGCACCCCCCACCCCCCAGCCCTATTAACTCCTTGGCAACAGCCTTTGCTGGCTGGGCAGCCACCCTGTGTTTCTGAGACTCACGTTGGCTTCAGACTGGTCTCATTTTTGTTGCCTTAATACACCAGGTGGCCCAGGGTGCCAGGGAGCTCTGGCTACGAGCCTGAGAGTCCCACACACATCTGCTGTGGGGCGTGGGCGTCCTCAGGAGAGGTCTGGGTCGAATGGCAAGCAGAGCTGAATGAAGAGAACCAACAGGAGGACACGAAACTCAGGCCAGCCAGGTGCAAACGAGGCATAGGGCAGAGAGCTGGTGGGGCTGTCCCAGGGAGCGGCCTCCACGGACACTGGTCACAGGCACTTAGCATGTCAGCCCTGAGCCTGGAGGATGGCTTCTCAGTGCACGCTAGGAGATGCCTGGCCGTCCACAAGACTCATCTCCCTGGGCTGAGTCCCCAACACCGCGTCATGAAAATGGGCTGGAGAAACAGCCTGGACGGCAGGGGCTTTGGCCCACGGCACACAGCACCCACCACTGATCCACCCGGGGGTCCCAGCACGACCTCCAAAGCTACACAGGACAGCGGCTTTCTAGCCACAGGGGGACGAAAGGGATCTTTTGCATTGCAGAGATTTTATACATAAATATATTTTGTTTGTAATGAGCCATTCTCAATAAATATTCTCACTGCACAAAATGGCCTGCAGAATCCCCATCTCCTTCCCAAGTCCCCAGCGCGACCACATGGGAACTGGGGTCCCTTTCGTTGCCATAGCCAGTTTGTAATCTGCCTTTGTCACGTCCAGGCCCTTGTGCTTCCTGTTCAGGCCTTGCTGCTTGTGCAAAGCCTGGATGGGATGGATGGGCTGCAGGCAGATGGTCCTGGGAGCTCAGTCTAGTCGTTTAAGTTTTATATATTTATTTGAGAGGCAGATTTAGAGACAGAAGAGAGACAGGAAGGTCTTCAACCACTGGGTCATCCAATATGGGCTGCTGATACTCCTGGGAGAGCAGCGGAAGGTGGCCCAAGTGCTTGGTTCCCTGCCACCCACATGGGAGACCTGGAGGAAGCTCCTGGCTCCTGGCTTCAGTCTGGCCCAGCCTGGGTCACTGAAGCCATTTAGGGAGTGAACCACTGGATGGAAGATCTCTCTCTCTCTCACTCTCCCTTTCAAATATATACATTTTCTTTTAAGGCAGTATGACAGAGACAGGGGTTGGCATAGAAAGAGCTACCATCTGCTGTTTCATTCTCCAGATGGCCACAACAGCCAGGGCTGGGCCAGGCCGAAGCCAGGAGCTTCTTCTGGATCTCCCATGTGGGTGCAGGGGTCAAAGCACTTGGGCCATCTTCTGCTGCCTTTCCAGGCACATCAGCAGGGAACCGGATTGGAAGTGGCGTAGCTGGGATGCAAACTGTCACCCAAAGTGGTGACCACAATGCCAGCCCCAATAAATCTTTTTCTTAAAAAGTCCATAGAAAAATGAAGTGAAAGGTAGGTTTATCTTGGTGCAAAACATTTGAAATCCATGCATACAAGGAGTCTCCAAAGAGGTCATGAAAAACTACGCATGTTTTCAAAATATTTTGTACCAAAGCAAACTTAGCTTTTCATTCCATTTTTTTCCCCCATGAACTTCTTGTCCTTACATATCTGGTTAAAAAGGGTAGGAAGCTATTAACCTATATTGAAACTTTGGTATCCTAACCTGTCCTAGTCCATTCTCTATGGCTATCACTGAGTGTCTGAGACTGGGCTTTTTATAAAGCAAGCAAGTAGGGGCCGGTGTTGTGGCAAGGCAGGTAAAGCCACCACCTGCAATACCGGCATCCCACACTGAGCTCCAGTTTGAGTCCCAGCTGCTCCACTTCTAATCTAGCTCCCTGCTAATGCGCCTGGGAAAGCAGGGGAAGATGGCCCAAGTGCATGGGTCCCTGCCACCCATGTGGAAGGCCCAGATGGAGCTCCTGACTTTGGCCTGGCCCAGGAGAGGCACCTGGCTCCTAGCTTCAGCCTCGCCCAGCCCTGGCCATTGCAGCCATCTGGGGGAGTGAATCAGCATGTAGATAGATATATTTAGCTCACTGTTCTGGGCAGTCCACTGTGTGTCTGGCGAGGGCTTCCTGCTGCATCACACAGGAGAGTATCAGCGGGTGAGCCAGAGCCAGCCGTGCTAGCTGAGCCGCCGTCTTAAGCCACAATGTCATCACGGAGTCCCGCCCTCGTGACCTCACTGAATCCTGATTACCTCCCAAGTATCATTCCCATTTGATGGTGGGGATTAAGTTTTCAGCACGTGAGCTTCTGTGGGACACTTTCAAACCTCCACCCCTCCTGACTCTCCCTGTTAATTGTTCTATTTTGCATAATACCAACTCCAGACCAGCCTGGTTTAAAGGGAGCCTTGCTGGGTGCTGGCAGTGTGGCGTAGTGGGTTAAGCTGCCGCCTGGGAAACGGGCATCCCTTATGCTTGCTGGTTCCTTTCCTGGCTGCTCCGCTTCTGATCCAGCTCCCTACTAATGCACCTGGGAAAGCAGCAGAGGATGGCCCAAGTCCTCAGGCACCTGCACAGATGTAGGAGATCTGGATGAAGCTCCTGGCTCCTGGCTTCAGCCCGGCTCAGCCTTGGCAGTTACAGCCATGTGGGGAATGGGCTCAGCCTTGGCAGTTACAGCCATGTGGGGAATGAACCAGCAGATGGAAGATTCTCTTTCAAATAAATGAATCTTTAAAAATTAAGAAATAAAAAATAGTAAAAGGAAGACTTAGGATTCAAACTAAAACTAGGATTCTGTCCAGCCACCTGGATTCTCTTGTTGGATCGACATGGGCTTATATCGTAATAATGATGACCTCTTGGGTGGACACACTGCTCAGTAAGACCCCCCTACGGTAGCCCACGGTGGACAAAGCGGGGAACATAATGGGCCTCTGTGCGCTTAAATAAAAATGTTCTGGTTCCTCTTGCACCTGACACAAACTGGAGGAAGAAGTGCCACAAGCACTGCAGCGGGACACACGAGTTTTGGAGGAGCACCAACCCTGATACCAAGTTTGGAAACGCCCTAGATTCCAGGAGATAAGGAGGGAGGGGGTGTATGGTCTGGTTTCTTACAATGCCCCACAACCCATCCCGGGACCTACCTTATGGACAAAATACCCTGGTGCAGCTCTCCCAAATTTTTGCAGGTACCTTAAGCCGAAGTGCCTGCGGGCTCCACCTTCCTACCTCAGATGGCCGTGACCACGGTTTGATCACCATTCCCACAAGTTTACCGGGAACAGTAGGGCGTATCTCTGGCCCCTGCACCGCCCATGGAAAATACCGGCAATACCACCAGATGTATTTCCCAGTCCCGTTCCCACAAACCTCACTCAGTCATTCTGTTGGGAAGACAAAAATGCCTCCCAGCTGGAGGTGTGGACAAACAGGTCGGGTTGGGCCAACTGTCCTCAGTCCATCTATAAATACAAGCACTGGACTCCAGTTATGTCCTACCAGCTGGTGGCCAGTGTCTGCATCTTCAAGGTGTTCATAAGAAACCTTCAAGTTTTTTTTTTTTTTTTAAATTAAATCTTTGGGTGCCAGTGCTGTGGCACAGTGGGTTAAGTTGCCACTGCAGCCCCCAACATCCCATCTGGGCACCGGTTCGAGTTCCAGCTGCTCCATTTCTTTTTTTTTGTTTTTGAAGATTTGTTTATTTATTTGGAAGGCAGAGTTACAGAAAGGCAGAGGCAGAGAGAGAGAGAGAGGGAGGTCTTCCATATGCTGGTTCACTCTCCAGATGGTCACAATGGCCACCCAAAGCCAGGAGCCAGGAGCTTCTTCTCGGTCTCCCATGCAGGTCCAGGGCCCAAGCACTTGGGCCATCTTCTACTGCTTTCCCAGGCCACAGCAGAGAGCCGCAGCTGCTCCATCACTGATCCAGCTCCCCGCTAATGCACCTGGGAAAGCAGCAGAAGATGGCCCAAGTGCTTGGGCCCTTGCATCCCACATGAGAGACCCAGATGAAGTTCCTGACTTTGGCCTTGCCCAGTCCTGGCTGTTGTAGCCATTTGGGGAGTGAACTCGTGGATGGAAGACCTCTTTCTCTTCTCTTTCTCTGTAACCCTGCCTTTCAAATAAAGATTTTAAAATAAAGATTTTATTTACTTGAGAGGTACAGTTACAGACAGTGAGAGGCAGAGACAGAGAGAAAGGTCTTCCTTCCGCTGGTTCACTCCCCAAAATGGCCACAGGGGCCGGAGCTGCACCAATCCGAAGCCAGAAGCCAGGAGCTTCTTCAAGATCTCCCACACAGGTGCAGGGGCCCAAGGACTTGGGCCATTTGAGGGCCGGCACAGTGGTGTAGTGGGTGAAGCCACTGCCTACAGTGCTGGCATCCCATATAGTGCCGGTTTGAGTCCTGTCTGCTCCTCTTCCGATCCAGCTCTCTGCTATGGCATGGGAAAGTGGTGGAAGATGGTCCAAGTCCTTGGGCCCCTACACCTGCATCAGAGACCCAGAAGAAGCTCCTGGCATCTGGGCTTCAGATCGGCCCAGCTCCGGCCGTTGCAGCCATCTGGGGAGTGAACCAGCCAGATGGAAGACCTCTCTTGCTCTCTGCCTCTGCCTCTTTGTAACTCTGCCTTTCAATAAATAAATAAATTTTTGGGAAAAAAAAAAAGATGGGTTGAATGATGGATTTGGCTACCCTCCCTTAGATGAATCCAAACAACAGAACAGCACATTCATGGAAAAACTACCAGAAGCCAAGATAGCGGAGAGGCAAGGGGTGGGGATTGTCTGGAGACAGTTGCCATGGGCCCTCATCCGTGTGTGTGGTGTGCGCCATTGTCTGGACTCTCTTTTCAGGGAGGTTCATATAATGAGTAGCCTCCCACCTGCAAGTCACCCCCATTCTTGACTCCTTGGTCAACTGCTGTTTGCGATTTGGCAGGTTGGATTCTTGCTCTGTGGTCCCAGGGACAGAGCCCATGCAGGCATGGTGCTGGTCACGGCCAGAGGGCTCCTGGCTTGTCTAGTCGGCCATGCATCACCACCCCGTGACATGAAGCAGGAGGGGAAACGTGGTCCCATTTTACAGATGTGGAAGTCAAGGTGCAGAGGGGTGGGCAGCTGACATTGTCAGTCAGGGCTCGGCCACGGAAGCAGAACCACTAGGGGCTGAAGAGATAGAGGCGCAGATGTGATGATAGACATTCACTGCAAGGGATTCGCCACCTGGGGAGGGGGGCTGGTTAGGGAAGGGTGAAACCCATAGGGCAGGCCGTCAGGAGGGGCGAGCTGGGAACTCGGGCACCGGCTGACAGCCAATCCCTCGTGAGAATTCCTGAGGCCGCATCAGACCCAACACTGCTACAGCCCTGGAAACAGTCATGGACAAAAGTCCATCAGACAGCGGAAGAATTCCAGAAAACGCATCCTTTAGATTCTCTTCCTTCAGAACCACTTCCAATACCAAGGTCTTCATCAGTCACGCAGAGAGAGAGAGGCAGAGCTGGGAGGAAATACGCTCAGGGGTTTGTTGTGAGGAACTGACTTGGGTAACGGGTGAGTCCTGGCTACACAAGTCTGACGACTACAGGGAAGGCTGGGGTTCTCACCGCCCCCCACCCAGCTGCCATCCACAGGCAGAACTGGGCAGAATTTCCCTTTTCTTTTTCTTTTCTTCTTCTTTTTTTTTTTTTTTT